CATTTTCCTTTTTCTCGTTTGAACGTTTTTTTAAAAAAAAAGAAAAAACACTAATTCTTTTCTTAATCCAAGTTCGAAGACATTTATTTAAGATTCCACAATTGTTTTATAAAAAGAATTTTGTTTTATTGTCTGAGACCAAATTTCATATACGCTTTTCCGTTTGTTGAACCAGGTACACCATTCAGCTTCCGTATTCGTCGGCGGAATACACCAGGGTAGTGTCGGAAATGATAACACACGTGTCTTCACCTTGAAATTTGTACCGCTATATTTCACCTATTATGAATGAATTAAAGGTAATTGAATCATCAAAATTGCAAATGAGAGATATTGTTATCAGAATTGTTCGCTTGAAAGCATTATAAAATAAAATACCTGTCACAAGTAACAACTATGTTTATTTCGAGATATTCTGATAATTATTATTACAATCACATTGCCATAAAAAAGGTTCAAGGTTCTGCACTAACGATTTTCGACGATCGTCTTTTTTCCGTGTACCATTCACTATGAAACGTTCACTTCGAATGTGTTTACGAGAATTAACACATTAGGTAGCCGGAGTGAGGCACGCAGTCCGAACGGTACCCAAACCATCATCTCTCTCTCTCTCACCGTTATCTACACTTTTTAACTAGGCATGCTTCCTCCATGTAGTATATGCTCTAAGGTTAATAGTGTGTATGATGCACGCATGTAACATACTGAAATAATGTGAGGGCTTCCTGGGCCTACTGCACGATGTAGGGAGAACAGCTACAGTGGGGCACATGTACTTGGCCATGCCTCATCTAATCTTTAACTACACTTATCACGGCTGCAACAGCTGAGTGTTGCTTTTTCAGACCTCATTTGTCCGGTAGGTCCGTGGTAATTCCGGGAATGAGATAACTCTTAAACGTATAAGGTACTTTCCATTGCATGCTCTGTGAGACTCACTCTCACATCATCCGATGATTCCGATCCGCACAAGTGACACTCACGTTATCTATTCCTAGTTTCTTCCTTTACTCACACACACAGTTACTCTGTTTACATAACAGAGTAATTATTGATACTATTCATGACATTCTTGAACGATATACGACACATATAATTAGTATCGTTATGTATAGCAAGCGATGACGTAAACGATTTTATCAAAAAATTTGCATTTTTATGCGGTATATTTTGTTAATCTACGGAGACAATAATAGACGAGACAAAAATGGACACGAAGGTAATTTATGTTGCACAAACTGAGATAGTAATAATGATATTGATTAATCATTACGTAAAACATTTCTGAATATTTATGCAC